GTTATAAGTAGGATAAGTTAATGTTAAATAATCACTTTACCTTATTCCCAGTTATCTCCTTTGATTATAACTGATTTTCACTCAGTTGAGTTACTTAGCTTTTTTTATTTTTTAATTTTTTGGAATAATAAAATTTTAAAGGGGAATCCTAAGGGAAAAAAAGGGGTCCTTTGTCAGAGTTTTTCTTGTTTCGGGTGGATAATTTACACATGTTATTACCTATAAAAATTTGTTAATGTGTTTTCCTGGGGGTAAATTTTTTACATTTATTTACCTATAATAAATTGTACTGTGTTACCCCTGGTGGATAATTTACAATGTTTTTCCCTTTAAAAATTTTTCTGTGTTTCCTGGTGGATGATTTACACATTTTATACTTTAAAAATTTGTAAATTTGTTATCCTGGTGGATAAACTTACACATTTTTGATTACCTATAAAAATTGTTATGTGTTTTTCCCGGGTTTTGGAGGGATTTTTTAATTTTTTCTCCCTATAAAAATTTGTACTGTGTTATCCTGGTGGAAATTTTTCAATGTTTTTTCCCTATTTTTAATTTTTACTGTGTTTTCCTGGTGGGATGATTTACACATGTTACTACCTATAAAAAATTTGTCTGGGGTTATCCTGGTGGAGGGGGAATTTAAAACACATGTTTTTAAACCCTAAAATTTAATTTTTACTGTGTTATCCTGGGTGGTTGATTTTTTCATGTTCTACTATAATAATTTTTACTGGGGTTTATCGGGTTTGGGTGATTTAAAAATTTTACTCCCTATAATAATTGTACTGTTTTTAACCCTGGTGGAATGATTTACACATGTTAAAACCTTTATAAAAAATTGTACTGTTTTTACCCTGGTGGATGTTTACAATGTTACTACCTATAAAAAAATTGCCCTGTGTTATCCTGGGGGTTTAATTTACAATGTTACTCCCTTTAATGTTTTGTCTGTGTTTTTCTGGGGGATAATTTAAATGTTCTACCTATAAAATTTGTATGTGTTTTTCCCTGGGGAAAAATTTACACATGTTATCCCTTATAAAAATTGTACTGTGTTATCCTGGTGGAGGGTTTTACACAGGGTTTTACCTATAAAAATTTTTATGTGTTATCCTGGGGGGGATTAAATTTACACAGGGGGTTTATCCCTTAATAATTGTACTGTGTTACCCCTGGTGGTGATTCACATTTTAACTACCTAAAAATTTAATTGTACTGTGTTTTTCCTGGTGGATGTTTTTAAAATTTTGTTATTTACTATAATAATTTTTCTGTTTTAAACCCGGGGTGGATGATTTTACCCCATGTTTTTTTTTTTTAATAATTTTTTTACGGGGTTTATTGGGTGGAGGGTTTTTAACATGTTACCCCCTTAAAATATTTGAAATTGTGTTACCCTGGTGGAGGGATTTACACATGTTACCCCCCTAAATATTTTTTCTGGGGGTTATCTGGGGGTGTTTTCCCACATTTTCCCCAACTTTTAAAAATTTGGGGTAACTGTTTTTACCCTTTGGTGGATAAAATTTACAATGTTTTTTCCTTTTAAATTAATTGAAACGGGTTTTTTTCCTGGTGGATGTTTTTTTAAAACATTTTTCCCCCCCCTTTTTAATAATTGTACTTTTTGGTTATTTGGTGGAGGGTTTTTAACCATGTTTTTTCCCTATAAAAAATTTTACTTTTTCAACCCTAAAACCTAAATATATTTATTTTTATCATTATTAGTTTTTTATTTTTTATTATTAAAAAGTTTAGTAAAATTTTAAATTCCCATGGTAGCTTAAAGTTTATTTAGGTAAAAGGAACATTTTAAGGGGAAAAGTATCGTCCTTTTGAAAACTTTTTTAATAATAAAAGTTTTAGTAAACCCATTTTTACTGTTCGATAAAAAAACCCGAAATTGGGTTGACAGAAATTCAACAATTTTTAAATATGGGGGGTTTGCCCCTTTATTTTGGTTTGGTGGGTGCAACAAAAACTCAAAAAAATGAGGCCCCGGGGGGTTTCGATTTTTGGGTTTTAGGGGGTTGAAAAACTTTAAATAAATTTTTTTCCTTTTTTAAGAACCTATGATTTGATAAACCTAGGTGGTTAATAGGTGGTGGGGCTCGTTCTGGGGGGGGAAAAATTATTAATTTGCCAGAAATGCTTGCAAAATCGGGGGTTTTCTACATGTTTTTTTCACTAATGTGAGTATTGTTTTTTTTTAAGTTGAAATCAAGTTTGGTGGGGGAAAATATACTGATCAAATTTAAAATCACTTGGGGTTTTGGGTCCCCAGTTGAGTTTAAATTTGATTTAAATTGGGGAAACATACTTTGAAAACTCCCCCTCAGGAAAAACCCATATAAAAGTCAGAAAAAGGGGTGACAAAATTTCCATTGGGTTTGGGCAAATATTTTTGTTAGGGGGGTTTTTGGGTTTTCGGGGAAAAAAACTTACTATACATTTGGCAGTAGGCCAAAGGGCAGTGTCCCCTTCCTTGTAATGTTTAATAACCTTAGTATACAGCAAAAACCGGGGTGGGGGTTTGGTAGTTATTACACAGCACATACCCCATGGTGGGGGTTTTGGGTAGTTATTATACACCACAACCATGGTGTGGGGGGGTAGTTATTATAAACCAAAATGGTGTGGGTGGTAGTTTTATACAGACAAAACCCCATGGTGTGGGTGGTAGTTTTTTTATTACAAAAACCAGGGTTGTGGGTGGTAGTTTTTTATACCCCAAAAACCATGGTGTGGGGGGGTATTTATTTTTCAGCCATAACCATGGTGTGGGTGGTAGTTATTATACCAAAACCTGGTGGGGTGGTATTTTATTATACAGCCCCAAAAACCATGGTTGGGGGGTGGGGGGGTTTTTTTAAAGCACATAGCCATGGGGGGTGGGGGTGGGAAATTTTATTTTTAACACCAAAAATTTGGTGGGGTGGTAGTTATTATAAGCACCAAAAACCTGGGGGGTGGGTGGTAGTTTTTTAACACCAAAACCCCAATGGTGTGGGTGGTAGTTATTAAAAAGCACATAAACCATGGTGGGGGTTTGGGGGGTTTAGTTATTATACCCCCAAACCAGGTGTGGGGGTTTTTAGTTATTTTTACCCCCAAAACCCAGGGGGTGTGTGGGGGGGTAGTTTTTTTTACGCACATAGCCTGGTGTGGGTGGTTTTTATTATAACCACAACCATGGTTTGGTGGGTGGTAGTTATTAAAAAGGGCCTTTAACCCATGGTGGTGGGTGGGGGGGTTAAGTTATTTTATACACACAACCATGGTTGGGGGGTGGAAATTTATTTTACCCCACAACCAGGTGTGGGTGGTATTTAAATTATACAGACATACCCAGGCGTGGGTGGTTTTTTATTATAAACCAAAACCCAAAGGTGTGGGGGGGAGTTATTTTACACCACAACCATGGTTGTTGGGGGGTGTTATTTTTACGCACAAAAACCAGGGTTTGGGGGTGGAAGTTATTTTTCCCACCAAAAAACAATGGTGGGGTGGTGTTATTATACCCCACAACCATGGTGGGGGTTTTGGGTTTAGTTTTTAAACCCGGCACAAAAACCATGGTGTGGGTGGTAGTTTTTTATACACCAAAACCATGGTGTGGGTGGTTTTAAAATTATACACCCCCAACCCATGGTGTGGGGGGGTATTTTATTATACACCAAAACCCAATGGTGGGTGGTGGTTTTATTTATCCAAAACCATGGTGTTGGGGGGGTAGTTTTATACACCACAACCAGGTTTGGGGGGTTAGTTATTATACGCAAAAAAACCCTTGGTGGGGGTTGGTAGTTATTATACAGAAATTAACCATGGTGTGGGTGGTATTTTATTATACACCCCCAAAAAAGGGTGGGGGTGGTAGTTATTTTTAAACCAAAAACCATGGGGTGGGTTTTAGTTATTTTATCGGGAACATAAACAGGGGTGTGGGTGGGAGGTTTTTTATACACCCCAACCATGGGTGGGTGGTAGTTTTTTAATAAAACCAAAAACCCAATGGTGGGGGTTTGGTAGTTTTTTATACACCAAAACCTTTGGTGGGGGTTTGGTTTAGTTATTATACAGAAAAAAACCATGGTGTGGGTGGTAGTTTTTTTACACCCAACCATGGTGTGGGTGGTGTTATTATCAGCATAACCATGGGTGGGGGGGTGTTATTACAGCACATAACCATGGTTGGGGGGTTTAGTTATTTTACACCACAACCTTTGGTGTGGGGGGTAGCTATTATAACCCCCAACCATGGTGGGGGGTGGTATTTTTTATAACAGCACAAAACCATGGTGTGGGTTTTTAGTTATTAACAGCCCCAAAAACCATGGTGGGGGGGTTTGGTTGGTTTTTAAATACCCCCCAAACCTTTGGTGGGGTTTGGTTTGTTATTATACAGCAAAAAAACCATGGGTGGGGGTGGTGGTTATTAACAGCACATAACCATGGTGTGGGTGGGTATTATTATCCCCCAAAAACCAGGGTGTGGGTGGTAGCTATTAACACCAAAAACCTGGTGTGGGTGGTAGTTAAATACACCCACAAAAAATGGTGTGGGTGGAAGGATTTTACACCCACAAAACCCCATGGGGGGGGGTGGTATTAAAATACACCAAAACCCGGGTTTGGGGTGGTAGTTATTTTAAAACCAAAACCATGGTGGGGGTGGTTTTGGGGGTTTTATTATACACCACAACCATGGTTTTTGGGTGGTAGTTATTATACAGAACAAAAACCATGGTGTGGGGTGGTAGTTTTTTATACACCCCAACCTTTGGTGTGGGTTTGGTAGTTTTATACAGAAAAACCCATGGTTTTGGGTGGTAGTTATTTTACAGCAAATAACCAGGGGGGGTGGTATTTTATTTTTACCCCAAAACCATGGTGGGGGTGGAAAGCTATTATACACCAAAACCATGGTGTGGGTGGTAGTTATTATCCCAGCAATAACCATGGGGGGTTTTTGTAGTTATTTACAGCACAAAAAA